TAGGTCTGGACGCCCGTACTGACAAACGTAAGCAATTGCACCTCGAGCGTACATATGACGTGAACTGTCTGTACATGTGGAGGAATAAATCGTTAGTCTTGCAACGTTATCTGTATTACCGTCGTTTAGAACTGCATCATGCAAATGAATATATCCTTCAGAGCGCAGCTTGGTCTGATTCAAACGAATGAAAAGCAGGCGTTCTGTTTCTTTTTTTGCGCCTACATACCCACAATGCAGTGGTGAAACAATTGACGACATTTCAAAAGAGGGATTATCTACACTCTGCCGAGTCATAAGTCGGTAGGAGTAGTAATTCATTGCGCTGCATTTCCTGTGCGTTACCTCGTCACTTACTGGATTTATCATCCTAACGTTGAAGTGATATCCACCGGCACCATCTCGAAAAGTAAATAGCTACTGTGTTGAAATCAGTCTCCGACTGCCAGTATATGTTGGATGGCAAAATCGTCAGTCTTTCAACGGTTGTGGTCGCACCGTCGTTCACAACAGCATCACGCAAATGAATGCGTTTTTCAGAGCGTAGTGTGAATGCTGAGCACGCAGACGTGTTGGACGGTGGTCCGCTGTTCCTCGCTGGCGTCTTTCAGCCACTCTCAGCTTGTTGTGTGCATTCTGTTATGAACGGAGCAGACCTGAAGCAGCAGAATGCGGTCGCAGTGACCACAACCGGGTTTTCGCAAGCCGGGCTGCACGACACTGGGCTGACAGTACCCTTTTGTGGGATTGTGCGGGGGAGGGGAAAGGGGGTTTTATTAACCGCATCCAGTCGTCGCGCCCGAGAATCCCGGCGAAAGCGGTGACAGCCACATCAATGAGGGTAATGTGGGACAATTCCAAGTGGAGCCCAAGTGTTGTGTGTTTTTTTTCTGCAGGGTGGGTGGTTTGCTCTGGCGACCCATATTGCATCGGCCAGAGAGGGTGAAGGGCCTGCTCAAGTGCCTGCAGGGTGGGTGGTGGGGTGGGCGCGGCTGTCGGGCGGTGCGCGTGCGTTTGAGCGAATGTCGGTCAAGTGGCCACAGTCTGGGCGCACATGTGTCCGCGCGCGATGTAGGTCAAGTGGCCGCAGCTGGTGGCGTTGTTATGCCGGAAAATATCCAGTTTTTTGCCCATCACAGGCATACCATCGGCATAATTACACAATTGAACAGCCAAAAACCCGGCCCTATGCGCGGGTCGGGTTGTGTCCAAATTTCAGCGCAATCGGTGCAGTACTTTCGGAGATTAGATATAACACAGAAAAAAAACCCTTCCATTTTTATATATATAGATATATAGATTATGCATGAGCGATAACCTGGCGGAGGCCAACCGCCTCATAAAGATGGGAACCCTCAGACGGACTGACGTTTTCATCTGTCACTGCCCTTGTCCTTCATATCATTCATGATCAGCGAACCTCGATAACCAAAGCTGATGTGGATATAGACGTGCCCGGCCAGTTGCGTCTACTTTCTCTCAACTCGGTCCATGCTCAACACTAGAAGCTTCCGATTGGTGCCACTGTCTAACGTCGGGATACATCTGCACATAGTCCTCAGCCAAACAGCTGCCAAGCCTGCAGCCTGCATTACGATGTCCGGCGTCTTTGTTCAACGCGCCTCTGCGTCAGGGTCATTCATTTTCTCTATGGAACGTCTCTAGACGCAATGACCTTACTTTCTGGCAGAGTGCAACATGCGCAGGCATGCGCAGACGGTCACGGCCATCCGTGTCCCTCCTGAACACCCCAACCCTCGGCTGATGTAGCACACCACTTGGGCACAAAGACAATAGGACCTGCTCTCTCGCGAGCCCATAAAGGCAACCAACACCTCTCTCTCTCCCCCTCCCTCCCTCCCTCTCTCCTTCGGGTATGGCCTAACATCGCCAACACACACCCTGGTATCCCTGGTGGCCACTGCCGCCTGAGACAGTGACTCAGAGTTCCGTTAACAACAAAATCCCTCATTCTGGTGCCATCGGTCTTATCCTGCTACCCAGGACGTGGCTTGGGGATTACTGAAGCTCTGAGTACATTCACTGGTTAGATGTCCCAGACCCGATGGCGTTTCTCCGCCTTTACTTTTAGTCCTTCTTTTCACAGCTGGCCCCTGCCTTCACTCATCTTATTAACCTCTCGGTCATTGAATCCAAAATTTCTAATTTCTGTCGTACAGCGAGGACAAGCCCCAGTACTAAAAGACCTAAGAATTTCTGTCTCAATTCCATTTGCTCTATCGCTTACACATAGACTCTACCAAGGAGACCTTAGCTTTCGGCTGAAATTTGCATATAAAGCAAAACGCAACACCCGCCCACTTTGCTAACAGGGGCTTACTCAAAGACTGGAGTGCGTCGACGCATTGTATGCCTTTAATGACTCCCCACAAGACTATCTTTAAGAAGGCGTCTGTGTGTAGCTCGCTAGACTGAATCTGCTCATAACTTACGAACTTATTATCTTGCCACTGCCCCTAAAACAGGTCACGTGTGAGTTGTGGTGGAACAACACGAGGACCAGGTCAAAGTCTGGCACGTGGTATTCGGCTGCGCATCCTTGACAAATATAATATATGGGGGAATGTTTGCAGGCCTAGACGCAGGTCCACGCCTCACCTGTGTCCGATCTCGCCTCCGGTCTTTTTGACTCTGTCATGACCCCGGTATGGTGGATACGATGTAAATCTACGGTCACTATAAACTAGGTCCCACGCAAGTCACTGTCCCTGCGCCAACCATGCTGCGAGACACACAGTGGGCACAGTGATCGGACTACCATGTAATTATCTTTTCTGACTCATGCTATCCAAGCACTCATGCATACTTCCGATCAACCGTCCAACAACTGGCCTCATATAGAGCATTATCCTATCCACCGCCCCCGTCCACTTCGCACTTATGACACGTTTACACCAGAATGTCGAGATTGCCGTGAGTGAATGTGCGAGGGGCAGTGTGGACAGTGGAGGCAAGTGCGGCGAATGTAGGTTGGTGCTTCAGGCACCTGCTTGCCGGCCTCTGTGCAATGGATTCGAAAGTGACCGACCAGACCGATGTGTGAGGTGAAGGTGCGGTCGCAATGAGGACATGTATGGACCGAGTCCACATCGCTGGCGTTGACGATGTGGCGGTTGATACGTCAGAGCTGTGTGCAGGGGTGGTGGGTGCAGGAGCCGTCGTAGCGGATGTTGAGGCGCTGTAGGAGGATGATGATGATGATGATGATGATGATGATGATGAGGATGATGATGATGATGATGATGATGATGATGATGATGATGATGATGATGATGATGATGATGATGATGATGATGATGATGATGATGATGATGATGATGATGATGATGATGATGATGATGATGATGATGATGATGATGATGATGATGATGATGATGATGCAATCATCTCCCGCCTCATCAGGATAATGGACGCCTGAAAATTCTTACGATGGTCTTTTATCTAGTACCCAGAAATCCTGAAGAAGAAGAAGAAGAAGAAGAAGAAGAAGATGCAATCATTGGAACAAGAACTTTATTGGCCTGACGTTTCGGTTACTCTTTCGAATCCAAAATAAAAAACAGTCGCAGGTAAGAGTTCGAATGAGGATTCGAAACGTCCGGCCAATAAAGCTCTTGTTTCAACGATCGCATCTTCCTCTGTTGCACCGTTTCCTGGAACTCGCCTATTCGCTCCTATCGGTATCCGGAAATCCTTTAGTGCTCTTTTTGACTGTTATTACTCCTGATCATTCGCCTTCCTTAGTGTAGCTACTGTAGTTCCCTCGTTCCATTTTATTGATTGGTTTTTAAACAAACTTCTACTTTGTATTCTCCATCTGTATTCCCACACCATTCTGCAGCCAGTAACTGTGCAGTTTTAATAATTCGGACCTCCATCTTTTATTACTCCCCTGAATGTTTTAAAACCTTATTAAAACGGACATAGCGCAATTACAAGACGACCCCATCGCAAAATGTTTTCTGTTTCCATAATTTTCAACTCTTTTCCAATTGATCCCACAGTATAGCGGCACTTTTCGAAGGCCAGGCTCCTAGCCGATCGTATTTTCCTAGATGCAGCTTATACTCCCATTTTGATCAGACAGCCACAAAGTAACTGTGTGCAACCCCGGGCAAATTTCAGCACATTCTTTATCGAACATTAGTTTTTGAGAGTCGACAGTACCATCCTCGCCGGGAGTTCCGACGTATCCATAGGCCGAAACATGGAAACTGATGTTTGAACTGGCCGTCTTCGTTGGTAGTATGGTTTTTGTGTTGGTGGCAATTTTATGTCGCCTTTTTCCGTTCATTCTGGGGATACTGCACTTGAAGGTTACTGGTGCATGGGGTGGGGAGGAAAAAATGCGACCGATGCTGTGGAATGTATTTGCATGGAAAAATCGACGCATTCCTTACTGTAATAAAACTGTTTAAATTCAACCTATCAGGATGCACTATAATTCGTGTCTTTGCAGATTACCACCTGGCTGGATAATTTGACCATACTTTGGCCATATTTTTGACCGTATTTTGTAATGTGTCCTTCTGAATGTGGTCCTTATGGAATCTTTCACTGCTCCGAGATCTAGGCCCGTGCGTTGCAATCGTTAGACAGTGACTTCACGTCCAGCCAGTCGCATATGCCTGACCTTATTTCCGGCCGACTTTACTCGGACGAACCGATGCTGCTTGGGAAAGAAAAGACGAAGTGAATTCGATCCTGCTCCGATCCTGCGCTCAGTTCATCACTAATAACAACGAAATGAGTCCCCAACATAACCTGGAATGCCGGCTGTCGTGGTTTTGAAGGTCGTCAACTGACGGTCTAACTAGGTCCTACTTAGGACTCGTGGTCGACTGCAATAGTTCCTTTTTAATGGGATCTTCAGTGCATCCTCGCATACGTGAACTCAGGGGTCCCCTCAATTAATTCCAGTACGTGTCGAGTTAGTAACCAGGTCGTGTGTGCAGGCATAAATGAGTCTTTTATCTTTGTCAGCCACCACCACCACCACCACCACCACCACCACCACCACCACCACCACCACCACCACCACCACCACCACCACCACCACCACCACCACCACAGCTGATGGGTTCTCTCATGAAACGCTAACCGAAATTCTGAGATGGGTCTTCGACTTCAAAAGATGGTAATTTGGTTAGGTAGCCGCACCTGGTGGACACAATACTGTTGACCCCTTAAATTATTTTGAGTTGGCGTGACTACGTTGACATGGTGTTGCTGTGCCTTGCGGCGTGTGTTCTGTTGGCGGCCTTGTTTCATTGTTGCTGTGTCTACCTTCTTCGGCCCGACGACAGTGATCTTTCCTGACTTTCGCACTATTGTCACGTCTAAATTTTGCGTTCGATGTTTCAGGATTAGGGTTTAGGGCTGCGGTTAAGGATTAGGGTTAGGGCTAGGGTTAGGAGTAAGGGGTCAGATTTAGGGATTAGGGTCAGGGGGTTAGGGCTTAGAGTTAAGGGTTATGGTTAGGGGTTAGAGTCACTGTTTCCCAACCACTCAAAGTACAACCTCACATTCCCGATAGCTTCTCCTTTGCATATTATTACTCGACCTCGTCGTCTGTGCGTTCCCCGGCCCCACCTTTAAAAAACCCTATTACCACCGGTCCCGTATTACAAGCGGCTGGGGTTTGTTTGCCTCGGGTGTGGCTGCATAACCACAGTTGACAGAATGGATTACCTAAGTTGTGTCGGACTACTGAATATCATGCAGCATAATCCTATGACATTTTGGTCGCCCCAGAATGCCGGCTTTTGAATGAGCTTCTCTTCAGTCGGCTGCTAAAACTTTACTTTGTAGACAATGGCCACTTAAGAAATATGCACTTTTCGCGTTGATTTTCGATGCTCTTATAAATTCGATTATTTTTTATAGAAAAGGCGGACGAAAATCTTCTGTTTTGCGCTCATTTGGTAACAAAGAACGTCTTCTTCATATTCCGTACTCAAAGAAAAGGTTTCTTCCGGGTTCTAAAAACTTTTCCAATTATGAGATCTTTTAAGTCCGTGAAACTTGCGTTTATACAGCATGGCATCAACGCGTTTATTAATGCTTCTTATAAAGTGCGCAACCTGGTCTACATTCACTGCACAGTTCTGTGGCAGTTCGAACTTCGTGACCTATGATGTTCAGCCTGACCGGAGAGGAGGGAGGCCGCTGGTGGATGGCACGATCGAGCACGCATATTGGCGTTCCACCACACACCCCTTGGTCCACACAATAAATAACCAACAACAGGAGCCGCACGGAGACTGAATCGAGACGCACACTTCCCACTTACGTGGGACGTGGCAGTTGGGTGTTTGCGGTGGATGATGTTTATGAGCAGGAAGACGCCTGCGAGGGAGAATGTCGTGGTGTGGTGTAGCTGGTGGTTGTCTACCGCAGGTTTTCGTGGACAGCCGAATGGACACATGCGGTGCATTAAAGCGCGAGGGCAGTGTGAACAGTGGATGCGACGGGTGTAGGCGGGTGCTTCAGGAACTGGTTCGCCAGTCTCTGTGCGATGGATTCGCAAGTGGCCGGCCAGGCCGATATGTGAGGTGAAGGTGCGGTCGCAGTGAGGGCAGGTGTAGTCCTGGTACTCACCTCTGGTGTCGGAGGTTGTAGTGCTGGTGTTTGATGTTGTGTCAGGATTGTGCGTAATGTTGATGTGCGTGGCAGCCGCCACAACGGCAGTGTTTTGGACAGCGGAGGAGGAGGAGGAGGAGGAGGAGGAGGAGGACGGAAGGACAACGGCTGGTGCGGTCCGAGTGGAGCAGTTGATTTGAAGGTGTCCAACAAGTCCAATTCGTGCCCGGAATGTCCGTTGACACTGAAGATACGTTGGAGGCGGTTGTGCGTTGGCATTACGGGGTGGGCGCATCTGTGATTTGCGGGTTCGCGTTTGGCTTTGGTGGAGGCGATGCGGTTGGTTTCGTAGATCGCAGCGCCTGTCCTCACTGTCCTTCTCCATGTCGGTCGATCGAGTGCGAGCTCCTCCCAGTCGATGGGGTTGATTTGCATGCGCTTCAGGGAGGACTTCAGAGTGTCCTTGTAACGGCGAATTTGGCCTCCTTGACGGCGAGAACCCGTCGCGACATCTCCGTAGAAGAGTCGTTTGGGTAGTCGCTCGTCGTCCATGCGCACCAGGTGGCCGCTCCAGCGCCGCTGCATTTGTCTCAGCATGGCGTAGATGCTGAGGATTCCCATTCGTTCCAGCACATCAGTGTCGGGAATTCGGTCCTGCCAGTTCAGCCTCAGGATGCGACGAAGACAACTGAGGTGGAAGTGGTTCAGTCGGCGTGCCTGCCTCGTGTACACCGTCCAAGTCTCCGCTCCATACAGTAGTGTCGGCAGGATGACGACCTTGTACATTTTTAGCTTCGTGCTTAGTTGAAGACCATGACGATTCCAAACTGTGCTTTGGAGGCGACCGAAGGCTTGACTGGCTTTCGAGATCCTGTTGGCGACTTCGTCATCGATCTTGGTGTTGCGGGAGAGGGTACTGCCCAGGTAAGGAAAGTTCTTTACCACTTGCAGTTGGATTACGTTCACGTTGATTTGCGGCGGCGCGTTGGGGGCTGTGGCTGAGTTGGGAGGCGGCTGATGCATCACCACCGTCTTCTGCGTGTTAATGACCAGACCGAAGTTCTCGCAGGCGGCGGAGAATAGGGCCATGCTCCGTTGCATCTCCTCTTCCGAGGTGGTGTTAAGGGCGCAGTCGTCGGCGAAGAGGAGTTCGTGCACGGTGGCTGTGGATACACGCGATTGGAAGTTCATGCGCCGGTGATTCAGGAGATGACCGTCCGTTCTATAGGCGATGCGGATCCGGGGGAGTTCGTCGAGGTAGGCGTCCATCAGTATGGCAGAGAACATAAGACTGAAGGGGGTTGGCACCAGCACGCATCCCTGCTTCACTCCGTTGGTCACTGCGAATGCCTCTGAGACAGCTCCGTTGTCCGTGACTCGCGCCATCATACCGTCGTGCAGCTGACGCACCATCTGAGTGAATCGCTCCGGACAGCCGAATTTCTGCATGATCTTCCACAGTCCTTCACGATTCACCGTGTCGAAGGCTTTCGTCAGGTCCACGAAGGTAGAGTACAGGTGGGTCCGCATCTCCTGACACTTCTCCTGGTGTTGACGGGCGGCGAAGATCATATCCGTGGTCCCACGATGACGACGGAGGCCGCATTGGCTTTCCGGCAGAAGGCCCTGTTCCAGATGGTTATTGAGGCGGTTGAGCAGGATGCGGGCGAAGATCTTCCCGGCGATGTTCAGTAGGGAGATGCCGCGGTGGTTGTCGCAGACTTGGCGATTCCCTTTGCGCTTGTATAGGTGCACGATAGTTGCGTCCTTGAAATCTTGCGGGACTTCACCTTGACGCCACATCTCCTGGAAGAGCGCAGTCAGGTGATCCATCAGTTGGGGACCTCCGTGCTTGTAGACCTCAGCAGGGATTGCGTCCGATCCGGCTGCTTTCCCGCTGCAGAACTGCTGCATGGCCCTGATGGTCCCCTGGAGAGATGGCGGGAGGTCGAGGTCCGCGTTGGTCTCCACTTGCGGCAAGCGGGCGATGGCGGCTTCGGAGATGACGGAAGCGCGGTTGAGGACGCCTCGGAAGTGCTCGGCCCATCGCTGCAGGATTTGCGTCTTCTCAGTCAGGAGAGTGCTGCCGTCGGCGCTGAGGTGAGGAGCAGTGCCCTTCGTCGGCGGACCGTAGACAGCTTTGATCGTGGAGAAGAAGTTCTTCCATTCGTTGCGGTCCGTGTACCCTTGGATCTCCTCAGCTTTGCGAGCAGTCCAGGCGTCCCGCATCTCGCGCAGTCGTTGCTGAAGGTGACGGCGACTGCGGTAGAAGGCAGTTCTGTTGTCGACCGTGGGGTGGTCTACGTAGGCTTTGTGTAGGCGGTTCTTCTCAGCTAGCAGATTTCTGATGGCGGCGTCGTTGTCGTCGAACCAGTCCTGGTGTTGGCGGGGAGCGCGACCGAGGACGGCGAGCGCCGTCGACTGGACCGTGTCTCGCAGCTGACACCAGCGGTTCTCCACGGAGGCGTTCTCGGCAGCGGCGGCGTCGTCGGCGGCGGCAGCGATTGGAATGTTGTCTAGCCGTTAAGCTAGCTCATTGCTGAAATGAAGATGGTGAGCGGGCAAAGACAACAAAGCAACATTCAGCTTACCTGGGGGTCGCTTACCTTGTGGTCTCCTGTGAGGCTGTAGGCGAATACGCATCTTCGAGATGACGAGGCGATGGTCGGCCCACCCGTCAGCACCCGCGATCGCCTTCGTCACCAGGACGTCCCGCTGATCTCGCCTCCGGCCGAGGACATAGTCCAGCAGGTGCCACTGACGCGACCGAGGATGCCTCCAGGTGGCTTTCTCTCGCTCCGGCAGACAGAAGAACGTGTTCGTCAGGATGAGGCGGTGTTCTGCGCAGGTGCGGAGCAGCAGCAGACCATTGTCGTTGGAGCCGCGGAGACCGTGGGGACCGAGCACTCCTCTCCAGGCAGTATGGTCTGTGCCGACGCGGGCGTTGAAGCCGCCAAGGACAATCAACTTGTCCGCCTTCGGCACAGTCGCCAAGAGGGCGTGCAGGTCCTCATAGAATTTGTCTCTTGCGGCGTCATGGCTGCTCATCGGCGGAGCGTAGGCGCTGATGATGGTGGCGAATTTGCCCCCACCCCGGCGGAGTGTCAGACGGAGGCTCATCAGGCGGTCCTTGATGCCCTGCGGCAAACAGGGCAGTCGTTCCACGATGTCGTTCCGGATGGCGAAGGCGACGCCCGCGTCCCGTCTCTCTGCCCTGGGTCGACCACTCCAGAAGAAGGTGTAGACGGCACCCACCTCCTCCAGTTGGCCTTGTTCGGAGACTCGGGTCTCGCTGAGTGTGGCGATGTCCACCTTGTAGCGCGCGAGTTCTCGTGCCACTAGCGCCGTCTTCCGTTCCGGTCGGTTGCTCCTCGGATTGTCTAAAAGGGAACGAACATTCCAGGTTGCCAGAGTGAGCGATCTCACCCTGCCAGTCTGGCGACTGCGGCGGCGGAAAGTAGGAGGAGGAGAAGGAGGAGAATAGGCTGGAAGAGGAAGAGAGTGATTGTTGTTGTTGTTCCGGTTTTGGCTGTTTCGACCGCGTGTTTTTTGTCTGCGGCCACGGCCAGCCTGCAGACAGCGTGGTTCCCAGCGATCTTTAGGGCACCTTTTCTAGCCCCCTCCCCCTCGCGAGGGCAGACAACGCATCCCTGAACAGGGCTGCCCGGTTATCCCAGACGGCTGCCGGATTCCACTATCTGCCACAACTTTTGTTAGTGAGAGAACGACCCGAATTAGCCTGGGACCTTGGTGGTGATGGTGATGTGATGGGGTGAAGTAGGAGAGAACATACACTCAAACAAACGCTATGGGACTTAGAACTAGAGTGGACGAGCAGACACAGTCATCAGTCAGAGACAGAAGTGAGAGGGCACCATTCAAGTGTCAAGCACCGTAACACCTAGCTATTAGCAGAGAGAGGCATAGACAGACAGACAGACGGTCTCAGCAGGCAACGAGAGTTTTATATAGCTATTAACAGACAGACTAACATATAGTGGGCAGGCAGCAAGAGCAGCATACGACACGGAACTTCAACAGACAAAAGGAAGAGACAAAGCAAATTCACTTACCTGAAGAAGAACTTGCCTGGTGGCCTCCTGCGGTGGTCCAGGCAGAGCCTCGTCTCGACGATGTCAACGCGAAGATCCATTCGGACAGCGACACACACACACACACACACACACACACACACACACACACACACGACAATTCGACCATCGATTTCGATTATGTCCACCGTTTGCCCCACAGCTGCAAAAGCGGTGGGAGCAGGGACGGTGACTTGTGCAGGGGTTTATAGTGCCAGTAGACTTGCGCTGCGTCTACCTACACTCTCTCCTCCTCCCCCGTCTGGGCCCGGTGTCAAGACAGAGTCAAGAAGACCGGAGACGAGGGAGGCCGCAGGTGGATGGCTCGGACGTATCCTCACCTTGGCGCTCCACTCCGCACCCCCTGGTCCACACACAAATGACCAGGATTTGACCACAAAACAATGGGGTGATGACAGTGGTCCAGCTGTGCGACGATTGCCTACAACAGGGTCTGCCAGCGCACCCCGCAAATGTTGGCATGTGTTATTGTGCACAGATAAGGCCTGCCAGTGTACGATGTGGCCCCTTTGTTGGTCCCGCGCATGTAAAACGAGGCCAGTTTTGAGGGCATGATCTTCAAAGTAACGACGACTGTCTGCAATTTCGGCTCGTACTCCGTATTTGACGGTAACTTTAGTGTACTGTCGAAAACAGTCAGAATAGTACTAACTGTGTCAATATTAAAATATTCATAGGCCTGATCCCGACTCTAGCTTCAGAGACTGCCTATCTAATTTTGCGCGGCTGATAGTCTTACATCAGTTTGCACACGTTGCGTGCAGGATATTCAGACGCGAGTATCCAAGTCATTCAATAATACTCCAAAAGAGCCCCTTGTGAAAAAAATCGTTAAATGATCGGTGAATGACGCCATCACACCATGAGCTGCGAGACTGAAAGTACTCTGAAAAAACCAACCGACAGCTGCAAACGCGAATATACGACCTCCGACTGGTCATTCGAAGGCTGGACACAAAGTCAGAGGTAGCGAGCCATGCCGCGATGACAGGACGCATCGTCAACTTCGATGCAGTTGAGATTGTGGGCCGAGACGATGATGACAACACGACAGGCGCAAGAAACCCCGATGTTCGCCAACTGCTCAGTCAATCGTCACATATGCCTGCCCCCCTCCCCCTGTCTAACTTTGCGAGCCTACTTGACAGGAGACGGTGTTAGCGTGAAACAACCGGGTGCCACCGATTATCGCCTTGATCAACGAGGGCGGGCGCGTCGCAGATTACAGTGAGAAGGGGGTCCGATTCACAACCACAGCCGACATTGGCGACTTGCGCATCAGGTAAATGTATCATATAACTAGGGCTGCTCAGAAGACTCTACAGTCCCTAAAGATGGTAGCCGAAATGGCTACTCGAAACTTCAGGACAAACTCCTCGTGAACGCCTCTCTGTCTAGCGAACCAGGATCAAAGATTTATTTGATTGCTCCTAACAAGGAATCCTCTTCGTTCATCAATAAAAGCGATTTTAGGAGTCCTGAGTTGTGCAAGCAAGAACCTAAAATGTCAATTTTTAGAGCGCCTAGCGCAAGCAATAATTGTGCCGGTAGATGCAGCCCTGTTAAGGGGACAGTAAAAGTTGTCTGACAATTACAAATCATTACCGTAGGATCTACCCTTAAACCTGTTTAACTGTCCTTCAGTGGCTTGTACAGTCACTAGCGGACGACAGTGTAAATAAATACAAATCAGAAAATGAAAACTCTGCGCACACTTGGGCACAACTCGGCCTTACAGCGCTCAACTCGCGTCGAAGGGGAGTGACATTCAGGCGATTCACAGAAATGATTCGTTTACTACAGAAGGGACATCGAGTGCACAGATGCGCCATTAAATATGCGGTGATGCTTTAGAAACGGCCTTCCGTTTTCGAAGTGCAAACTAATTAGCAAGGATACAGTTGTCCAGACCAATTGCTAGGCACTCGATATGTCCCAAGGAAAAGAGATAAGGATTAGAGCGCAGTCATTCCTTTGAACCCTACTTAAATTATCATGTATTTGCTGCTAGTAGCACGGTAGCAAGAAAACTTGATTGCGAAATAATGACAAGAGCCTACAACACGACCGTTGCTGATGAAACCCCACAAGGTGTGGACAGAGGCCAAAATAAGTCGATAATGTCGCGGAGACCCGAATTAGTGGCAAATATTGGCGAAGACCGGAAAAAGTTGGAAACAGGATATTGAGAGGTAAGGGTACCGACTGTCAACCGCTGCCCACGTGTCCGCACTATCAAGACACATTTAAAGTCCGGACAGACTTGCCTCAACGTCTTTATATGCACCGGAGCAACAAAATGACCAAGACACAGAATAATGTCACCAAAGACCTCCATTAAATTCTGAAACAATACATCAGAAAGGCGAAAAATACGAGTTTGTCCAGGTAGCCGGGCCGGGTTGCTGACAGTAGGTAGACACTGGAATATCCTTCAGGGAGGCCTGGGTGTGCAAAAGAGCTCGCTCCCAGATCTGACGAATAAGCAGTCGTGAAGCATGCAGCAGTAGTACCTCGGCAAAATTCTATTAGTGCTACAGGACATCTTCCTATGAGTATAGATGAATGAGTGGTATTCCTTTGGCAGAATGCACACAGCATACACTTTTGAAACCCTTGATGCGACTGTAACGGCAGGTGGTGTAAAAAATGCTCAGGAATCAAAAGAGCTTTTAAAAACCGATAAATACGCTTTATTTGGGTATAAAATTTGAAGAAGACGTAAGTTGTTACCAAAGGGCAACAGGAAGGAATACGTTTGTGTAGATTTACTATAAAACAGAATTAAATTTATAACGGCATCTAAAATCAGTGGGAAAATACTTACTAGTTAAATAGCCATTTTTACGAAATGTAGTTTATACAAGCTGTCGGAAAGAAGCTCGTTCGAGAGCCGGCATCCTGACGTGATTAAAATATCTTGTGATTATGCCGCACGACAATTACTACCAAAACGCTACTTAAGTAATCTTCTCGAACGGAAAATACTTTTCGGCTAAAATTTCATGAGATAGCACATCTGCTGTTCGCTTATCTTCAGTAGCCCCGACTTGGTCTTGCCACTGGAGTTTTAAAGGCGTGGGAATGGAAGGCGAGGTATATACATCGCAGGTTTGTTTCCTCACAGGCAAGTCCACGCAGAGGCCACGCCTGAGCCCGCCTTGTAGGACAGCGAAGGACCTTGTTACACGCGACGGATGAGGTACCGTATTTGTAGCACTCACTGTTGGGAGTATTCCCCACTTTAAAATATAAAACGTTTCGGCGAGATTTGGTTCTGCAGCCCCACTTGAGTGCTACCATATGGTTGGCTTACTAAAACAACACTAATAGTAGGGGACGCTCACCGATCATTTTTACGGAACTTACTCGTTCCGTTGTGCCTTACGGGCTTTCTCTCGAGCCCAAACAGCAGCCGCACAGCGGCGCATGATATAGGCAGTATGTCATTACCGACAAAGACGAGGGAGACTGAAATGGCCATTTCTGGCTTATTAGCCGTCGCCAGCCAGTCATGCCCAACCCCGAAGTGTGGAACACCCAAGGCTCGAGCCCGCGACCTGTTTGTTAGAAGTCCACGCCTCTAACCATATACATACTGCCTATATCATGCGCCGCTGTGTGGCTGCTAGTTGGTCTCGAGAGAGAGCCCATAAGGCACAACGGAACGAGTGAGTTCCGTAAGAACGATCGGTGAGCGCCCCCTACCATTGTAAATTCGCGATCGAAACCGGCAGGGCAACGGGCTCGTGGTCCAGTGTTTAGAGGCGTGGAATTCTAACTAACAGGTCGCGGGATCGATTCCCAGGTGTTCCACACTTCGGGCTTGGGCATGACTGGCTGACGACGGCTAATAAGCCAGAGATGGCCATTCCAGTCTCCCTTGTCTCTGTCGGTAATAACATATTGCCTAAAACAACATTAGTCAACATACTTAACTTAGCCGTTCGCTGGATTAGGAAAGGAGAGAGAGACAGAGACAGAGCACTAGCAGGTTTCGAAGCATGCGCAAGGAGGCGAATGAAAGTGGCGTATACATACTCTCTCCCCGACACAGTCACTCGATGGATGCAGAGGATAAGGAGGGCACAATCACAACTGGAAGGCTACTGGCAGAACTGCACGGCAATTCGCAGTGCATGTCCACCGTAGTGGGACCCACGGGGTTCCACACCGTCGGAACAATTCTATTAGCAAGTCTACTTGGCCACTCGCTGGATTAGAATAATAAAGAGAGCGCAGACAGGGCTCGAACCACTCTGAGGGAAGCGCGTGTGAACTGGTAACTGAAGTAACCGAGGCTGACGCATAAGCACTCCTCCCCCGTGGCACAGTCACTCTCTGGAGTAAAGTGGTAAGGAAGATGTGAATACGTGATATTTGTAAAGTCACCGTATTCACATCTACGAAATTTTTTGAGAACCTAACCGTATGATATCACTCAAGTGGGACTGCAGGACCAAACCTCGCAAATGCTGTCCTTCATGACTGCTATAGTAAGCTGGCTTGCAGGCGTTCCCTGTAGAGCACGTGCATGCTCTTCCACCGCTAACGCAACATTTGGAAGACAGGTGAGTTCATTTGGCAAGAAGAAATGTAACTTTTGGAAGGGGCATTTTCCAGCTGGATAAAAGTATCCTTATTTTGGCACTCATCTGTAACGTAAAGAGTTATATTTGGCATGTAAAAAGTGGGGGTAGCATTGTGAACGAGACTGCTCGGAGAACGTGAATAACATTAGTAGGTCACTTTAAAAGAAGAATGAATAAGACGCAACTGCGTCCGCCCTGGTTACTATGAATACTGCTAAGGCAGGTGGGAGTAGCGCTTACCGACCACCTCTGACTACAGAGTACAGCTTGCCTTGCTGTTCCAGGTCCAGAGCCCACACAGGCGGTCGCATAGCGACGAACAGTAAATAATTAGAAATAGTCACTGACAGGGACTGGAACAGCCATTCGTGGTTTACTTATTGCCATTAGCTAGCCACACCCCAACACTCAGCTGGCTAGTCATTCAGCATTTTCAGCCACACGCTGTT